TTTACATTTGAAATAAGAAAAATCAATTGCATTGTCTTATTTCAAGTGTAAAAAATTGGCAAACTGTCTTATTTACCTGTTCAAATTAAGGGTAAATACACTTGATTTAAGACATTTTTACTTAATTTCAGATTGTTTTTGCAGGGATGGATGTAACGAAACATGCTACGAAGTTGCTCCGCAGTTTAGGGAGCGAGAGAAAGGTGACGCTCGTTTATTTAAATCAGGGGGAGATGAGTTTATTTCCCGAAATTGTACAGTAATGTTTTTTTATTAAACGGATGCCTTCTCCATTAGATTTAGATGACTGTGAGGAGACGGGTAGCCTGGCTGGCTCAGAGGCTGCAGCTCCCCTTCACTGCCTTCTGTTTTCGCCGAGGAAAGCAGAAATAGAACGTCCCAGGCGAAGGTATACGAATGTCACCGAGAACATACCAAGTTCATTGTTTCACAGAATCGATAAGGCAATCGGAATTGTGAAAATCTTATCAATTCCCAACCCTAGTAACTTACCTGGTACGGGGTGAGGGTATGTAGGGGTCTCACTGGTCCAGGGTCAGGAGACTGTAGCTGACTCAAGTAGCCCAGCAGAGACAGCTCTCTGTGCTCATTGGAACGCTGGTGTGTTCTGTTAAATACATCATAACGGGTCACCGACACGCTACCATATCAAGCCCTGAGTCTTTCAGGTTAATACTGAACTCACGCTGTCCCTTGGCGCCCCACGTTTAGAAACTCTGACTGCACGCTGAGGTGGGTGTACGCTCTGGGAGGGCAGTGGCTCTCTGTGAACTCGTCCAGGGCGGTCTGAGCGGGCGGGTGTGTCTGGTAGCCCTGCGCCGTCCTCAGAAACTCCGGAGTGAGGGAGGGAAACTGGGTGGTGATTCCGTGACTGAGCTGGACGACGTGAGTGACTGGGAGGAAGCGGATCAGATCCACCAACAGCTGGAGTCCAAACCCTGCAGACAGACATCTTTTAGCAGAGCTTAACTCCCTCGAGGTGTTTGCTTCCGCCACAGTGAGGAGTCTGGACTGACCTTTGACCCAGCCTGCGGTGTTAATGATGACGGGCATTTCTCTGTTCTGTGGACGTCTGCGCCATAAGGACTTGAGAGAATCCAGGTAGTGGTCCAGGTCTGTCTCGCATGAAGGCTGGCCATAGTAGATCATGTGGTCTGGGGTGATTTGGTGAGTGAATGGAGGACCTGAAAGGCAGCATGGGGTGAGTCTACAACTAAACAGCACAAGATGGAGGTTTTTAAGTTACATCAAGAACCATTGTTATTTATTAATCTGCATATTCTTCTATATACGGTCCTAAAAAAAAAAAAAAAAATGAAAGTTTTTCTTTCCTTCATCTTAGAACATCACCTTTTAAAATCAACCTTTATGAGGCCGTTTCAGACACACTGCTTTATAGAGTCTGCTGCTTCATCTTTGATGCTTTTCTAGATTTACTACTACCGTAAATTACCGTAAATTACTACCGTATTTTCACGACCATAAGGCGCACCGTACTAAAA